AGCCGCTCCGCGGCATGTGGGATCTTCCCAGACCGGGGCACGAACCCACGTCCCCTGTATTAGCAGGCAGACTCTCAACCTCTGCGCCACCAGGGAAAGCCTGTTAAAATATGTTAACAATTGTACCAGTTATACTCCTTTTGCCTGCAAAGAGTCTTAGGACACTTTGGATTGCTTAGACAAATCAAAAATGAGAATTTATTGGAAAGATGGTAAGGCCATTGGAGAACTTCATGGAATCCAGCGGAATGTGGAGCAAGTGAACTACGGGAAGGACGACTCCAGGGCTCAGCCACATGGGTTTAGGCCTTTCTAGGCTCGGCCAAAACTGCAGCTCACAGTTATGCCACCAGCTCCAGATCAGGGGACAGAGGCAGAGGTCTGGCTATGGTCCTGGGGGCTGTCTACTGTTCTGGGGGCAAATCCTAGAGAGAGGAGTTTGTTGAGAACCAGAGGCAGGATGAAGCCTGTCTTAGTCAGCTCAGCTGCCATAACAAAGTGCTCAGACCACATAGGTGGCTTAAACAACAGACATTTTTTGTCTTGTGGTTCTGGAGGCTAAAAGTCTCAGATCAAGGTGTCAACAGGGTTGGTTCCTTCTGAGGGCCGTGAAGGATGATTGTGCTCAAGGCCTCCCTCCTGGGCTTATAGCCTGTGTCTTCACATGGTTTTCTGCCTCTGTACGTGTGTGTCCTAGCCTCATCTTCTTTTATTATTTATTTATTTATTTATTTGGAGTATGGTTGCTTTATAGTGTTGTGTTAGTTTCTGACGTACAGTAAAGTGAGTCAGTTATACGTATATATATATCCCCTTTTTCTTAGATTTCCTTCCCATTTAGGTCACCACAGATCACTGAGTAGAGTTCCCTGTGCTATAGAGTAGGTTCTCTAATCTCTTCTTATAAGGACACCAGTCATATTGGATTAGGGCCCCACTCTCATGACCTCATATTAACTTAATTACCTCATTTTTTTTTTTTTTTTTTTTTTTTTGCAGTACGCGGGCCTCTCACTGCTGTGGCCTCTCCCATTGCGGAGCACAGGCTCCGGGAGCACAGGCTCAGCGGCCATGGCTCACAGGCCCAGCCTGTGGCATGTGGGATCTTCCCGGACCGGGACACGAACCCGTGTCCCCTGTATCGGCAGGCGGACTCTCAACCACTGCGCCACCAGGGAAGCCCTTAATTACCTCTTTAAGACCTCTATCTCCAAATATGGTCACATTCTGGGGCACATATGATTGGGGGGCACATAATTCATCCCATAATAAACCGCCACCTAAAATTTGTTTTGAAGGTCAAGACTGATGACACCACACGTGCACCCAGAGGGCGTGGGGAGGTTTATTGTTCACATAATGAGACTTGCTGGGGAGGACAAGGCAGGCTCCCAAGCCGGTCCAAAAATGGCCCGAGAAAGCAGGGCTGGGAGGCCGGCTTGGGGTTTTTACAGTGGCTGGTGGGAGGGGCTGGGGTGAGGATTGAACTACCAGTGGGCTTTCTCATCAGGTCGCCCAGACGTGGGGCAGAAGGGGGAGAAGGAGGCATGCGGCTTAGAAGCGGTCAGCCACCAAGTGCCAGAAAGTGGTGTGAGTCTCCATCACGAGAGCCTGCTGCAAATCCCTATATCTGCACAATCTTTCATAAAGCCCCATCCTCCTTTACCTCACTATCCTTAACAGTCCTAAATGCTGAGACCCAGGTGGCTCTGAGCTGAGGGTTCCAGAGGGGCTCAAAGTCTAGATTGTATGTTCTACCTGCCTTTGGTTAGACCTGCACAGAACCAGCAGTGCTCACAGAAGGGCCTGGTGGGGGCTGGAGACATGGGAGGGAGGGAGACAGAGTTTGAAAGACTCAGCTGGTCCTTGAAGAGAAGAGATCCTCAACCCCTCCCTTCCCTCTTAGTTCAGAATGACTTTCACCTTCTGGAATCACCTGCTCAGGATCAGATAGGAAATCCTCATGGCTAAGATGATACTGCTCTGCACAGTCAGAGAGAGGAGTCTAATGCTCTTGAATCAGACCAAACCAGGATCAACCTAAATGCCCCCTCCTCCATGAAGCCTGCCCTGTCTCTCCCTTCCAATCCCTTGCTCTAAGGCATATGGCCGTGCCTAAGGCTGCCTCATGCTGTTGCTGCTCTTGGTCACACCTCGTCTCCTGCCCCCTAAGGTCAAGGTGGTGTCTTGTGCACCTGTGTGTCCCGGGTGCTGCCTCTCCCGTCCTCTCCCACCCACTGTCCTTCATGCCCTGAACCTCAGGCACACTGGGGTCTTTGCATCCATCATTATTCCATGATTCATTCTTCTGCAGAACATTTCTTCATGCTGTTCCCCTATCTGGAACACTGTTCCCTGATCTAACCCCTCTCCTTTAACTTGGGAACTCCTCATCTGTCTCAGCTCTGATGTCCCTTCCCCAGGACACCCTTCCTAACCCCCGTCCCCACCTGTGGCCAGAGTAATTCCCTGTACAGTCAATCCTAACTCCTGAACTTACCCTTCACAACTATATCCTACAGTGTGTGTATCCAGCCAATGAGAATGTAACAATGCTGTTCACCATAGCAGGAGCTCAGCAAGGAGCTGGATGACTGACTGAATGAATGAATGAAGGAAAGAATGAGCAACTCTACTGCACGTGCTATGTGATTTGTGCTGTGGGGCTGGGTTGTGGATTCAGAGATCAGCTGAAGTCTTGTCCTCCTTGAGCCGTATGGCCTGAGAAACAGCCAGACACCACCCCTACCTGCAGCTGCCCCAGAATGATCCAAGGGTGCTGAGGCTCCCTGATTACTTACGAGAGAGCAGCTTCAGCTCCGCAATTAGAGACGAAATGAGCGATTGGATTCCTGGACCAAGGAGGCATCTGTTCCCGCCTTTGCTCCTGGGGTGCGCCGTCCTTGCAGTCTACCATGTGACATCTTAGGAGGTTCCATCACAGAACCATGCCGCTATAAAGCTGGCAGGCTGCTCAGAAATCATGTAGTCCAGGATTGCACACTGGAAGCCCTGGGCAGGATCTAGCCCCTAGATGGGCCTTGTCTGGCCACAGAGAGCTGATACCGGTTCCGCGTGCCCACTGTTTCCCACCGTGTCGCCCCGGAACCGGCCTTCCCGAGTTCATGAAGGCGCTGGAGTTTGCTGCCCCTGGTCTGGCCCAACTCTTTATTTGCAGGGGCAGGGATATGGCTGAAATGGTGGTCCGGGGCAACAGAAACCCAGAGAGGGGGATGGTAGTACTTAAGTTCACATGGCAATTGAGGGTCAGAGTGGAGACCAGGCCCACTAAGGGGTTCCCTTGAGCCGTGGGAAAAGCAAGTATCAGGTGAACCTCAACAAATAACACAAACAGGAAGGGGTGAACTCTCTTGGGCCCCCCAGGAGGGAAAGGGGGTTCTCCTGGGAGGAGGTGAGCCAACTTGCAGTGAGGTTTCTCTCTATATTGAGACTCCACACTGTACCCATGGGTCGGTTCATTAATAATTACCTAATCAGGGAGGTGGTAGGTGGTGCAGAGAGGTTTCTCCAATCTTCCTGGGCTTGATAAATCCAAGCCACATCTAGAGCTCAGACAGGCACCCAGGGGCCACTCGAGGATTGACTGTGCCGTGAGTAACCCTACGAGGGTCACAGTAGAGACTAAAAGGAGGATGACCAACCGACCCAGTTTGCCTAGGACTGGGAGTTCTGCGACAAAGCTTTCAACGCTAAAAGTAGGAAAGTCCTGGGCAAACTGGAACAATTGGTCACCCTAATTAGAGGTGACAAAGGCTAGAAATACCCCTACATATGATTGCACCAACCTCCTTGCTGCACTGGGCAGGGAACTGGTGCTCAGATCCAGAAGAGCCTCCCGCAAGGCCATGTACAGCTCGGGACCCAGGTCTTCTGGCTCCAGCTGCTTTAGGAGAGCTCCTGTCAGAGCTTCTGGGTAATCTCACCGCAAAGCCGGAGAGAGGGGGTGAGGAGTGGTTGTTATAGGTTGGTAGGAAGCCATGTTGGGGGGGATGTTCCTTGTTATTATGGTCACTGTCCAGCTAGCACAGCAAAGTTGAGTAGATGTAATAGTGACTGTATGGTCCCCACAGCCAAAGATATTCACTATCCGGCTCTTTATAGGAAAAGTTTCCTGACCTCTGGTGGGGGTGAAAAATGATGGAGAGTTGAATGAGTGTCAAGAGGGACTGAGGGATTGAATGGGGTGGGATGGATGGAAGGCCAGATGGATGTTAGGGGTGACAACTGGGTTTGGGGCTGAGAACTAGGTAATGGTAGGGCCATTTGATGAGGCAGAGAAGATTTGGTGGAGAAAATCGAGCATCCTGTTTGGGGCAGGTTAAGTTCATTAGGGAAAGGGACCAATTCTATCCCTGAGACTTTGGGCAAATCATGTGTTGAGCATCAGTGATCTCATCTGTACAGAGTGGTGATAAGAATATCAGCTCTATTGACCTCTACCTGGATAAGAGTGTCAAACAAAACGGCATAAAACCGATTTTGCAAAGTGTAAAGCACACCACGGATGTCTGTGGGGTAGTCGCTAACATAGCCTTTGGCGATGAGCACCTTTGACGTGATGGGTCACTGGGCTAAGGAAATATACTCAGATGGTGCAAGGCATCCCAGGCTGAGAGAACGGATACCTGTGTTCTAGCTCAGATATTTACTAGTTTGGTGACTTTGTTAAGTCACTTTTGGAGTCTCTGTTTCCCCTTCTCTGTAACGAGAATGGAGTCCAGTGCCGTGCAGAGCTCACAGAGATGGGAAAGGAAATGGGATGGTGGGCAGCGAGCTGCTTTGTAAATCTGAAGCCCTGCTACAGTGTCATGGCACCACACACATGGAGGTACTGGGTGTTTGCTACTCCGCTGCAAGCTCATCTGCAGGAGTTGAGAGTATCACTTAGATCCCCGGGGCCCTGCCTCTTCTGCCTGGCATCTCAGTGGGGTTGGGCATTCTGCTGGGGAGTTTCCTGGGCACATTCTTTCCTCCTGTAGACCTGAGAGCACAGAAGGTGCATCTTGCCGACTGCCTGCTCCTCCGTCTGGCTGGACTACTGGTCCTTTCTCGAGGTCAGTGGCATCCCGAGCATCACGGCCAGGGTCACATCCACTGCCCCCATCAGGAGGCTCCGGGCACAGGTGAGGGCTCTCCCAGCCTCAAGGTCACTGCAGGCAATAATGCCTTTGCTCTCCGCTTCTACCACCTGATGGCTTCCCAACCCTACGGGAGCAACGTCTTCTCCCCGCTGAGCATCTCCGCCGCCTACGCCTTGCTGTCCCTGGGGGTCCGCTAGCACAGCCGGACCCAGATCCTCGAGGGTCTTGGCTTCAACCTCACAGAGATGTCAGTATCTGACATGCACAGGGGCTTCCAGAACCTTCTGCACACTCCACCTCCCGGCCGACGGGCTGGAGATACGTGTGGGCAGCACCCTGTTGTTGAGCCTGGAGCTGCCGCTCCTTACGAGATTCCTTAACGACTCCGTGACCTTCTATGAGTCCAGACTCTTCCACACCAACTTCGATGACTCTGAGGGCACAACCCAGCTTATCAACAACCAAGTCAGGGAGGAAACTCGAGGGAAGATTGTGGATTTGGTCAACGAGCTCAGCGCGGATACCACGACGGTGCCGGCGAATTACATTTACTTCGAAGGTAAGAGTCAATTCGTTGGTGGATCCTACATCTTCCCTTTCCCCCTAATTCGTTGAAGGCTCGCATATCAAAAAGAAACTCCCCCAAAACAGAAAGTGGATGGATTGGGTCTGATAGGGTTGAGCAGCCTTCTGAAAATGTAATGTTAGAGCCTCAGATATTTAAGTTTGTGTAGTATTGATTTCCACCCCTTCATATCTTTAGACATATTTTCTTATTTAAAAAAAAAAAATAACAGAATGTATGAAATGCATTCTACCCAATGGTGACAAGTTGAACTGCTGGATTCATATCCAGCTCTGCCACTTACCAACAGTACAAACAGGGCAGGTTGTTTGCTTGAAGGACTCTTATAAGGATATAAGAGTCCCTGCTTCAAAGTTTTGTTTCTGAGAATCAAATGATGTCACATATTTGAATACTCCTTAGAAGAGGGCCTGAAGGGATCAGCAAACTACAGCTCCTGGGCAAAACTGAAGGCCACCTGCTTTTGTAAATAAAGTTTTATTGGCACACAGCCACGCTCATTCATTTATGTATTATCTCTGGCTGCTTTCACGGGACAGAGGTTAGCAGTTGCTACTGAGACAGAAGGACCTGCAAAGTGTAAAATATTTACTTTCTTGCCCTTTGCAGAAGAAGTTTGCCAACCCCTGACCATTATATATGCTCAATAAATAGAGTATTTGTAATTATTCTAATGATAACAATTTTGAAGACCTTTAAAAATACATATAAGTATAAAAGAAAAAATAGAAATTGCCCAGAATCCTACCTTCCTGAGGGAACCAACATTAACATTTTAGCCTAATTCCTTCCAGTCTCCCATTCACACACATATGTTAATTGAGTTGAAATCACAGGTAGGAACAGTTTTGTACAGTGTGTATCACTTAGGGTGCCATCCAGGAAGCATAGTCACCGTGAGTGGGAAGGGAAAGGGGGTTGTGAGAGGAATTAGTCCTGGCATGTTTGTGGGAAGGACTGGGGAAGTGAAGGTCTGGAGGAAGAGGGAGTTGGGGGGGACAGAGAAAAAGTCACTGGAGCTGGTGGACAAGTTGGGACTTATCAGGAAATCTACATGCCAGGCACATCCAGCCGCCAGAGTGGTTCCATGTAGGGAGAGCTTGGGGAGAGGCCCAGGCTGAGCACCTGGCAGTGGTCTGGAGACACTGTTGGTCAGCAGGGTAGAGCTGGACAATGAACTTGGCGGAGAGCATAGGTGAGCTGGAGCACGCAGCCCCTCTGGTCTGTTCATCGTTTCATCTGCCTTCAGCGGGCAATGGCTGTTTCATATCTGCCTCTCAATCCCCTGCTGTAACCACCTTGAATCTACAGGAAACAGATTCTGGGGAACAGTCCCAGACTAATAATCCAGCCAAACTGGTCACTGCTTGAATTTTCACATGTGGAATTTTCAGGCACCACTTAAAACTTAAAAAAATTTTTTTTTAAAAAATTCTGCAATAACTATAAATTCATAGGGAGTTGCAAAGTTGTACAGAGTGGTCCCATGTACCTTTCGCTCAGGTTCCTCTAGATAAGATCGTATGTAACTGTAGTACAATAGCAAACCAGGAAGCTCACGTTGGTGATAATCTATAGACTTTATTCGGATGTTATCAATTTTCACATGCACTCATGTGTGTGTGTGTGTGTGTGTGTGTGCGTGCGTGCGTGTGTGTGTGTGTGTGTGTGTGTGTAGTTTTACTCTATTGAAAACTTTATTTAGATCTCATTTTAGTGGCTGCACAATATTCTATTGACTCCATTCCATTTAAAATATAATATAATTTACATGTGTAATATACACCATCACCACACCCAAAGCTCTGGCCAGAAATAATGAAGATTTTGGTGCTCCCTTCCTGAAAGAGACCTCGCTGCAGTTATGTTAGTGATCGTGGCACAGAGAAGGAGGTGCTCCAGAAATAGACATCTTGCCCTCTGACACATCTGCCCATCACTCTGGGGACACAAATGTAGCCCCAAGACCTCAGTCTAGGTCACATGGTGACAGTAGTAGAACAATTGTGGCTTATCTTAAAAAATGAAAAGTACCTAGAAGAAAACAAACCAAAGATATGCAGAATCTCTGTAGATAAAATTATATTGAGAGATATTAAAGTCAACAAATAAAAAATAGATATACCATATTTATGAATAGGAAGACTTAACATGGTAAAGATGTCGGTTCCCGCCCAAATTGATCTAAATATTTTAAAGTAATCCCAACAGGTTTTTAAAAGATTCTTTTTGGTACCAGTTAACAAGCTGATTCTAAAGTGTATATGAGAGAGCAAAGGGCCAAGAATAGTTAAAAAGAGAGAACCTGTCTGCTGGGGAGCAATGCTGGTTATAAATCTGTATTAATTTAGACTGTGTGGTATGCATAGACCAATGGGACAGAACAGAGAGGCCAGAATGGAACCTAGAAATGGCTCCATGGACATATGGATATTTGATATTTGAAAAAGCCTGCATGATAGAGCATTGAGAAAAAGGATAGATTTTGAAAAAGCAGTCCTGGGACAGTATCCTCATGGAAAAAAATGATTTTGTACCCCTCCATCCTACAGATCATAAGCATTCACTGCAGGTGAAGTGAAGTCCTAAATGCAAAAGGTAAGAGTAAACCTTGTAGATGAAATAGGGGAGTATCTTCATGACCTGGAGGTAGGAAAATTTTTCCTAAGCAGGACACAGAGATCTAACCATAAAGGAAAAACCTGGTATGCTCACTGCATAAAGACTTTCAATCATCAAAACACACAATTATGAAAGTGAAAAGACAAGTCAGAGAGGAAGAGAACACATTGGCAACACACAGAACTGATAGACAACTAGTGTTCAGAGAACTCCTGCAAATCACTAAGAAGCAGCCCTGTAGAAATATGGGTAAAAAAGTGAACTGGCACTGAACTAAAAACTAATAATAATAAAATAAAATAAATTAAAAACCAAACAAAAACCCCAAAACCAAAAAAAAAATCCCCCCAAACTTCTAGTTGATCCATAAACATACTAAAGACTACCCAACCTTATTATTTTTATTTACTTATTTTTTTTGCGGTATGCGGGCCTCTCACTGTTGTGGCCTCTCCCGCTGCGGAGCACAGGCTCCAGACGCACAGGCTCAGCAGCCATGGCTCACGGGCCCAGCCGCTCCACGGCATGTGGGATCTTCCCGGACCGGGGCACGAACCCGTGTCCCCTGCATCGGCAGGCGGACTCTCAACCACTGCGCCACCAGGGAAGCCCTCCTCAACCTTATTTTAAACCAAGAAAGTACATGTCAAAACCACAGTGAGCTACCACTATATGAACATCAGGTTGGCAAAATTATTTAAGTCCAGTGATTTCAAGTAATCGGTGAAGACAGGAAACAACCTTGCTGATATCCTCTGGGGTCTCTTATTTTAGAACCTATCTGAACCCTCAGATCCATTCCCCAGGCAGGTCAGGTGCTGAACTGATGAGATGGAGGAGGGTGAGTCTTGAGTGATGATGGGGGGGATGCATTCCCTGGCTGGAGGATCGGCTTGTTGGTCCACGGATGCCCTGTACCTTCTTCCCTTCTTTCCTCCAGCTCTGTGGGAGACACCATCCATCCCCTTGATGACCGCTCCCCATGACTTCTATGTTGATGAGGATACTGTTGTCAAGGTGCCTGTGATGATGCAGGATACCCAACACCACTGGTATCATCACGACAGATACTTGCCCTGTTTGGTGCTATGGATAGATTACAAAGTAAAAGCGACAGCCCTTTTCATCCTTCCTAATTGAGGGAAAATGGAGCAGGTGGAAGAGGTTTTGACTCCAGAGATGCTGACAGGGTAGAGGTAATCTGCTTCAGAAGAGGTAATCCATCAGGGCATCGTGTGGAGCAGAGTCTGCAGCACTGCCCTTCACATGGACCCTTCCAATGAAAGCCAGTGCCCCAAATGGGAGTGGAGGGGGTCGCCAAATTATGGAAGAATTCTTATTTCCTTCAAGACTTTCCTTGGGTTTCCTTAAATAAGGAACACTCCTATTGTACCCAAAATGTGATTTTGCTCTCATCAGTGAAAAGAGAACCAGACTAGGAGTTAGGAGTCTGGGTTCTAGATGTAGCCTTTGTACTGCACAAGTCTGGGGTGAAGTGACACTGGCTCTCTGAGGGTCCACCCTGTGCAATGAATGGGTAGACTTCCCATCAAGATGGCTGACTGAGCTGGCGTGGAGAGGTTTCCACCCACCCCAGGAAATAGCAGGGAAGCTTTCACGTCACCATGGGGCTATGAGCAGGAAAAGTCTCCAGCCATACATAAGAAAAAGACCTCAGGCCAAGGCCACATGTGGATGGGAGATTCACACAGCCCACGTGGTCGAGGAATTCCACCCAAAGAAAGCAATGGGTCCCAACCAAGTGAAAAGCACGGGGACTCATCAGAGACAAAGGCAAAACTGCCACACGGGGGGACTTGCATCTCCCTGGGCACCTGGTACGTCTGCAGAAAACAACCTCTGCTGAAGACGAACTCCCAAAAGAAGGAGGTCCTGCAGATGGCAGGCCCTGAGGGCAAAGAAGGAGCCTGGCTTTAAGCCGCTGGCAGCACTCATCTGAGGGAGTGGCACAGGCAAAGGGTGTTTGTGACCACAGAACTCAGATGGGTTGTGGGCCGTGAGCAAGTGCAGTCAAGGAGAGCACAGCCGGCTGGGATGCTTGGCTAATTCCTGAGTCCAGTGTTTTAACCCAGTGCCTCTTTAAGGTATTTTTACAGGAAGCTCAAGTTGTATATCCCCAAATTCTCCATTTCTGGCTCCTATGAATTAGATCAGATTTTGCCCAAGCTGGGCATCACGGACTTATTCTCGTAGCGGGCTGACTTGTCTGGCATCACTGAACAGCTAAACCTGCAGGTGTCCAAGGTAAGTCATCAATGGATATCAACTCCTAGAGACCTCAGAGGGGAACGTCCACCTCTTGGAAGGTGCTGGGTGATGGGTGCTCTCCCTGCCACCACGTGAAGTCTCAGAGTTCAAATTTTATTTAATTATCCACGGGCATAGGGAGCCCAAGAACCAACTCACCATGTGCTGGGTGTGGTGCTTGGTGCTGCAGATCTAGGGTCCATCAGGTGCCTGCCCTCAGAGAGTTCTTCCAGTCAAGTCCAGGAGACAGCACCCTCATAGATCATGGCAACAGAGAGTGACAAATGCAATGACAGAAACAGAGGCAGGATACAGATGAGGCTGAGTTGTGTGTGTGTGTGTGTGTGTGTGTATCATAAATTTCTTAGACCAGAGAAAGGGACCTATGACCTCAGCTACATACAACAAAGGTGCACTAGAGGGTAGAGTCTTGGGTTTGAGAGTTCAAATTCCAGTTCTGCCTCTTATGACCTTAAAGGGTTACCCAGTCTCTGGATTTATTTTCCTCATCTGTAAAACAGACATAATACATTGACCTCATAGGATGGTTATGAAGATTAAAAAGAGCATAGGCACATAGTATGTGCTCAATTAATGATTGCAATGGTTATTTATAAATAAGAGGTCATCCAGCTCAATAACCGCCCCCCAGTATAGACATTCTTGCTGCGATATCCCAACAAGTGGCTTTGATCTTCAGTGGTCTCTGGTTCCCCTAGTCTTCCCTAAGCCCCAGCTCATGTTCTCTCAGAGGTAATGCTTGTGATTTCCTTCCCAGAGTTTCCACAAGGCCATCCTGGAGGTGGATGAGGTTGGCACCCAGGCTGCAGCAGCTACCAGCGGCTTTGTCACCTTCTGGTCCCGGGACAATCACCAAGCCCTTCCTTGTGGAGATCTTTTCCACCAACACCCAGAGCATCCTCTTTCTGGGAAAGGTTGTCAACTCCACGAAGCCATAGCCCTCCAGGGCTGGCTTGTCTGTTACAAGCAGGAGGACTTGGCCTGGAGGGCTGAGTTTGAGCAGCTCTGGGTTTGGAGTGGGGGACGCAGAAGCTGCTGAGGATCCAGGGCAGAAGTTGTTGGTGAAGGTGAGGGATGTGGGTGGTACCAGACCGGTGTGGACTGACACCCAGCTCCTCAGGGCTATGACACCTCACACAGATCATCTAACCTCTTGAACAGGTTTCCACCCCTGAAAGTGGCAGAACACCCCCCAGGGTAGTTGTACGGATTAAATGAAATGATGGCTCTGAGGAGTCTGCCTCTGCAACATGGCTCTGAGCTGGACGGGGCAGCCTCAGAAGTCACCAACAGATGGAAGGTCCCACAGGAGGACATTGCTCAGCAAGACCAGCCCAGAGTTAATCACACCAGTTCCAGGCTACAGGGTCAAGGACCTGCAAGTGCTCAGCACCCAGAGCCCTCCAAGGCTCAGAGGAATGCACACCCTCCTTGCCGCCCCCTGGTTTAACTGGTCCATTTCCCCCTGCACCTGCTGGGATGTTGGATTCTGTTTTTTAACAGCCAGGCAAGAAATAAAGTCAGGTCCAGGCTGACGCACTCCCCAGTCTGCCCCTACAGAGGCAGGAGGTGGGTGGATTTAAGAGTCCCAGACAAGCCTGCAAGAAGATGCAGGCCTAGGGTTACTAAGGCAATGACACCGCTGGGGTGATGTGTGAAAGTGAAGCCCTGGTGTGACAAAGGGGAGAAAAGGGGGGTAGTCACCCCCAGTTTAGCCTTGAGGGTGATGCCTCCTTATTTTGCTTAAGCTCATCCCTCCCCTGCTCAGAAGGACTCAATGGCTCCCTACTGCCTACAGGATAAAGTCCAAACTCCTCTAGCTGCAGTCAAGGTCCTCCCTGATCTGGTCCCTGCCTGCCTCTCCTGCCCCAGCCCCTCCTCTTGCTCTCATGTACCCAATAACTGCAGTCATGCAAACTCTTGCTGTCTTTCCAGGTTGCCCATAGCTTCCCACCTTCGGGCCTCTGGTCTCCACAGATCCCTCTCACCCAGAATTCTCCCTTCCCCATCCCTGAGAGTCTACCAGGATTTCCAACAAATGCCTCCTCCCCTCCCTAAGGCAGACTGTCATCCTACCATCAGACATGATTGGCTGACATTAATCTCTGCCCTGCATCCCCGCCAACCCTCGTCCCTCTTAGAAGGAACATCTCAGAGGCAGGACCCTGTTCACCCTTCATTCTCTTCACTCACCCAGTAACTGGCCTCAGCGCTGATCGTAGGGTCTGGCATGTGGCTGAGGCCCAATAGTTGGTGATTGAATGAATGAATGAATGAATGGAAAAGGCTGTGCCCTGAGCAAGGTCCTCGAGCTATTTGTTCTGCATCACCACCCCCTGACACATCCCTGGAATTGATTGGGTAAATATTTAGTCCAGCTTCTCAGATTTCAAAATGCCCTTTTGGAGCATTAAAAAAAGAGATCTACGGGGTTGTGTGTGACCTGTGTTTTACCTCTTGGGAGGCACACTCACTTCTTTGGGACCGGGCGGGTATGCTAGCGATTTCTTTCATTCTCCTCTGGCAGGAAAGGCGAAATCTTTTTTGTACTTTGTGATGGGAGGGCAGAGGGAGGCAAGTGAGTGTCATGAGTGCCATCGTGGAGCCTGGGGGACCCAGGTGCCAGTGCAGGGACGAATTTCATGGCCCTCGTAAGCAGGTGTGGAGAGAAGCATCATGGGTTCATTTGATTATTCATTCTCTCACTCAACAAAGAGTTACTGAGTGGAGATTGGCCACTAGCCAGGAAGCCAGAGGGATTTCCTCAGAGTGGAGGAAGAGGCATCCAGAGTGGGGGAAGAGGCATTTGAAATTTGGGGTGAGACAGAAAGCCTGCAGTCCCAGCTTCTCCGTTACCTGTGCTGAGGGGCTAGCTCTTACCTCTCTGGATCTCAGTTTCTGCACCTGTAAGTGGGCATGTAATCCCACAGCAGCTGTAGCAGTGGGGGGCGGGGTGGTGGATGGACGTGGGATCCGCGGAAGATACAGGCCTGGCAGCCCCTAGCTCTGACTGAGCGTGTGAACGTGTGAACATGTGAAGGGCAGGAGGGTGTCTGCTTCATCCCTGGCTGCCTGGGAAGGTGAGGAGTCCTTTTCTGAGACACAGCAGGTCTAAGACTAATGGTTTCCAAGCTCTGTGCACCTCCAATGAGCGAGGCACAGTGACAAGCGCTTTCCAGGAGTTACCAAGAGGCCACAGAGCATCTGAGCGTAGAACCTGGACTTTGGAGTCAGAATGCCTGTGTTTGAACCTGGAATCTACCAACTACTGAGTATACTAGTTGGTTAGTGTATTAGTTTTGCTGTAACAAAGGACCACATCTGAGTGGTTTAACAACAGAAATGTACCATTCCACTCTTCTGGAGGCCAGAAGGCCAAGATCAAGGTGATGGCAGAGTTGACTCCTTCTGAGGCTGTGAGGGAACAACTGTCCCGGGCCTCTCCCTCAGATTCTGGGGGTTTGCTGGCCATCTTTGGTGTTCCTTGGCTTCTAGATCTCTGCCTTCATATTCACATGGCATTCTCCCTGTGTGTGTGTCTCTGTCCAGATTTCCCCTCTTTTACAAGGACGTCAGTCGTATTGGATTAAGCACCCACCCTAGTTCAGTATGACCTCATCTGAACTAATTACATCAGCAATGACCCTATTTCCAAATAAGGTCACATGCTGAGATACTGGTGGTTAAGTCTTCAATTCTTGGGGGACACAGTTGAACCCATGACACGGTGTGGGACTTGGGCCACCCCTCTGTGCCTCAATTCCCTCACCTGTAAAATGGAGATGATGCTACCTAACACATAAGCCTACTGTTGATTCTGGATGAGGTTCTGTATGTAAAGCACACATCTTTGCTGTTCCACAAATGTTCACTATTGTTATTTCATTTTATCTTTTATCACAACTCTCCTGTAAAGCAGGGTCACAACTTCACATGCCTGCCAGAGCTGGCAGGTCATCTGAACAGGTAAAGTGGAGTGACGGTTGTGGGGACCAGGCAGATGGAATAGTAAGAGCCCCCACTGAGAGGCATTTCTGTTCCACATTGTCACACACACACTCGGGGGGTTGACAGAACCCAAATCTGCCCAGGGTGAAGCTCGCCTATTGGGAATGGTGCTCTTTGTTGCTCTTGATGTCAATGGAAAAATAAATCTAGCATGGCTTACCGGGTCCTTTAAATTCCCACATTCTGGCCACTGGCCCATCTTACTCTCTCACCCCAGTTATCATGGACTGAATTGTGTCCTCTGAAACTTCATATATTGAAGCCTGAACCCCCAACGTGATTGTATTTGGAGAAAGGGCCTTTAGGGAAGTAATTGAAGTTCAATGAGGTCATAAGGATGGGGCCCTAATCCCACTGAACTAGTGTCCTTATAAGAGGAAGAGACACCAGAGCTTGCTTCTCCTCCCTCTCCTTCTCTCTCCCCCTCTTTCTCTGTCCCCCCATATGTACACAGAAGAGGCTGTGTGAGGATTCAGCAAGAAGGCACCATCTACAAGCCAGGAAGACAGATTTCACCAGAAATTAACCCTGACATCAGCTTGATCTTGGACTTCCAGCCTCCAGAACTGTGAGAAACACATTTCCGCTGTTTAAGCCTCTCAGTTTGTAGTATTTTGTTCTGGCAGCCAGAGCAGACTAATCCATGCCCTGAGACACCCTCGAAACTTTCCCAAGTGTACCCATTCCCAGCCCCCATTCCTTCAGAACCCTTCCGAGTGACAATAGGCAGTCAGGGTTTGCCCCGTTCCCCAAATTCTCAAGATAGTCCTTAAAATTTAAGGACTGGGACATGGTACGTGGGCTGTCTCCACGGACAGACACATGGGCTGGAGAAGTCCTTAAGCATCTGCTTAGTCCCATCTTTCCCACATAGTTTCATCAGGAACCTGTTTTGGAGTATTATACTAGTTTCCTGTTGCTGCTGTAACCAATTATGACACACTTAGTGGCTTAAAGCAACACAAATTTATTCTCTTACAGTTCTGGAGGTCAGAAGTCCAAACGGGTCCCTGGGCCAACATCAAGATGTTGGCAGGGTTTGCTTCTGGAGTGCTTTGGCCCACGGCCTCTCATCACATTGTTTTTCTCCTCCTGCTTTCCTGATCACATCGCCTTCTCCGACTCTGATCTCCCACCTCTCTCTCTCTCTCTCTCTCTCTCTCTCTCTCTCTCTCTCTCCTCTCTCTCTTTCTCTCTCTCTCTCATAAGGAAGGACCCTTGTGGTTACGTTTAGGACCCACCTGGGAAATCCATAAGTCCCCCCCGCCCCATTTCAAGATCCTTAACTCAGTCACGTCTGCAAATGCCTTTTGTTATATAAGGTCACATTCACAAGTTCTAGGTATTAGGATGTGGATATCTTTGGGGGACTGCTATCCATCCTACTATAGGTAGGTAACACTGATTCCCTCCCGATAGAACATAGTTTGGGAATCTCTAGACTATGAGATGAAGGACTCTTGCTTATGTCACATGGCACAATGGACAGAAAGCAAAACCTGGACAGAAGGGACCTAGTTCCTCCTTGTTAATGCCTCTCCCTATTAGCTGTGTACCTTTGTACTGATCACCTAACCTCTCTCAGCTTCCGTCTTCTCACGGATTCCATGGGGATGCTGGTGCCCATCATCTAGCGCGTTGCAAGGGCAGGGAGCACAAAGCAAGCACCTGATGCCTGGTAGTGACTGTGCTTATCTCTAGGTTGAGATAAAGTTCAGTATTATGCCCTTTGCAGGGTGGTTGTAAGGACTAAAAGAGGTAATGGGCCATAACTGGGCCCAGAATCAGGGAGCGAGAAGGGGGACATCTCAGAGGTTGCAGAGCGACCCTGGTTGCTGAGCGCCAGGATCGCTTCCTCTGGGTAACGCCTGGTCCTCTGTTTCCTCCACCAACTCCACACGCGACAGTCACCCACACAACCTCTGGGTCA